TTTTTTTTACAACTATGTAATCCCTTGCTTTGGGTTGGTGTTGGGGCTAGGCATTTATTAGTCAGATGCCCTTCCTGATGCCTATGCGGAGTTCACAGCAGATATTTTCTCTTTGCATTCTGATAGAAAAACATGTCACTGCCTAGGACTGAATTCTCAACCTTCTGAATGGGAAGTGAGAACCTTCACCTCTAGGCCACCATGCCACTCGAGAAAGTTTTGGTAATAAAAGGGAAAATAGTAGTAGGTAAATAGTAGGCATATTTAAGAAAATGTACTTCTGGGAACATGTTCTCTTTTCACCAAACTCTTTTCCATTTCCACTCTCCTCATACTATCCCCAAGACTCACTTGTGAGCCTTGCCCTCTATAGTTCCCAATTAATGATATATACTTTGGTGTAGAAAATGAATATATGTAGCAAAATAAAGTTACAATAAATGGCAAACATTGATAGAAATAGTAAAGCATGCATATGTAATTTGTTTCTTTGATCATTGTGAGTTTCCTTACCTATATTTCTACAAAATGTATATCTTGGTCATGCTTTCTAATGGGCTACAACAAAGTTTTAGATATTGTGAGTTTTCACACTAGCACAATCTGATTACCTACATTATCATCTAAGTCATCAGTCCTCAACCTTTCGAGCATCGTGGCCTGGCTGGAGGCGGGAGAGAAGAGGAGGTGGTTCTGTGTGAGTGGCAGTGCTTATATGCGCAAGCTCACATAAATGGAGTTGTGTGCAAGCGCCCACTGCTCATGGAAGTGGAGCTGTGCACACATACATGTTCACTTGCCACTCATGTGGCCCGGAGGTTGGGGACCCCTGATCAAGGTAAATCAATCTGATTACCTAAGTTGTCATCTAAGAGCCGAGGTGGCGCAGTGGTTAGGGTGCAGTACTGCAGGCCACTTTAGCTGACTGTTATCTGCAGTTCAGCGGTTCTAATCTCACCAGCTCAAGGTTGACTCAGCCTTCCATCCTTCCGAGGTGGGTAAAATGAGGACCCGGATTGTTGTTGGGGGCAATATGCTGACTCTGTAAACCGCTTAGAGAGGGCTGAAAGCCCTATGAAGTGGTATATAAGTCTAACTGCTATTGCTATTGCTATCTAAAACATCTGTATACGAGAAATGCATTTTTAATATTCATTTACTGATTTAATATAGAAATCAGAGGCAGGAAAAGGAAAAGCAATCAGGAAAAGGAAACAACCCCCCCCAATATGTTGAGAATCATATAGCTAAACTTTTAAACACATCATTAAGTCTGGATCACAAGAAATAATATTGATAATATTTTCCATTACGTTATTATAGTGTTAGCTTAGAACAGAAAACAAATACAAATGGATAAGTTAAGATTATGGAGTGGGTTTTACTGTCTTCCAAACACTGACAAGTAATTGTCTTTATCTAGTTCATAAGAAAAAGGAACACATATTAACACTATAAAACTGGGGTTGCACTGCCTTTATGACATTAAAAAAATGTTATGTTCCCACACTGCTTGATAAATTCATAATTTACGGGTTTGGGAATATATAAATAATACCATCTCACATTAATTGCATATTAATTTTTTATGATGATAATGAAGTGGTGGATATCAACCCAAAGCAGAACAACAGGAGAACAAACCTATGCCATATGAGTAAACATTGTTAGATTATTTATATTGAGACTAATTGCCAACACTTGTAACATATTCTTTGGACATCCCTAAAATGTGAAAAAGCATTTTTTATCTGAAATAAAAAGTTTGATATTTATACATCGAAAGGTGAAACAATGATCTTTGAAACAGGTATTTAAAAGAATCCAAACAACATTTAAAATTATTACAAATGTCTGAACTGTTATACAAAATGATTAAATAGATAATTGGACTTAGCATCTATATGTCAGGATGATTGTCGATATTTATGCATCAAGATTTAATGAATCAGGCAACCGCTTGCACAATTACTAGCTTCCAAAATCACAATTATTGATGGAACATGAAAAAAATCTCACTTAGAAAAGCACAATTGTAGACTTTCAATAGTACTGGACAAAGAATCCAGTATTTCTTCTAATATTCAACAAGATAACCATCAAGATACCAAACTAAGTAGACAGATTGATCATCTATAATCTCATAAACAGCATATAAGCTTATTCAAGAAAACTGAATAACTTCTTTTTGTTGATATTTAACATTAATATTCAGTTGAGAGTATATTTAAACATGATTTATTGTGCCAAAATCATTGTAAGTTTTACTTTGACTATCTTAAATAGCCAAGATATTTTTACAATCTTGAACTGTTTCTGCTGTGAGGTTAATAGTTTAGTTTAGTTTTATTGAGTTTGTATGCCGCCCTATTCCCGAGAGACTTAGGGCGGCTCACAATAAAA